CGGTGCCCCAACCCCCCAATCGGCCCTACCCTGAGCATGACTGAGGGTGGCATCGCAACCTCCCAATCCGCCCTGCTCTGTGCATGACAGGGGCGGCACCCCAACTCCCCAATCAGCCCTGCTCTGAGCCCAACCAGGGGCTGCACCTAGGGATTGGGCCTGCTCTCTGCCACCCGGGAGCAGGCCTAAGCCAACAGGTTGTTATCTCCCGAGGGGTCCCAGACTGCGAGAGGGCACAGGCCGGGCTGAGGGACCCCCCCTTCCCCCCACCGAGTGCACAAATTTTTGTGCACCGGGCCCCTAGTATATGTATAAACATATACATGTATATGTATACATTATGTATATGATAAAATGTTGTGATGATGCAGAAATCCAAAAATCAGGCTTCTCAACATATTCTTTTGGATATTTGTTAAATTAGCATTTGTTAAGGAAACCCCCCTGGTACTGGATGGTGTCCAGCAGTTTCCCAAAAGACCACAGATAAACTGGAAATAAAAGTTTATAACTTACGGAGGAAGTACACAGCACGCCTGCAGGGACTAACACAGGGCAAGACAGGATGCAGGAAGAGAGTGGCAGTACACACAGTGTAGGTCTGTATTAGGATCACTATGTGGAGTGCCTTGGGGTTCTCGAGCTAGGTCCAGATTGTTCAACTCAAAGCAAAATCAGCAAGGTTTGGCTAGCTCTTTAGAAACCTTACATAAGGAGCATACAAATTGAAGGCCCTGAGGTTCACAAGGACTGCTGGAGAAGTCATATCAAAAACTTACATTCACTTATGACACTGTAAGCTGGTGTCTGTGTGCATTAGGGATTCATGGGAGTTCAGTTCAAAATGTTTTAGCTACACAAAATAAATGACAACGCTGAAACACCACACACTTTTATATAAACCCTTAAAAACAATCCCATTAGATATTTTTTGTAACCATAAGGTCCCAGTAGGTACAATGAATAAAAAGATAAATTATGGCTAAACTCTTTACACATTAAGGTTTAAGGCCTGTGAGTAAATGATGTCACTCCACTGCACTACAAATTGTTACCCACAATGGTGAATAAGGTGGGAAACATTAACACTGATGGCATGTCAACACCTCATTCATTACACATCACTGTTAACATATTTCAATTACTTCATCTTTATGAATGAACATATTAAGTCCACACATAGTCTAAACAAAGCATTGCAAACACACTGTATTGCCTTGGGTTGAAATACACATTACAACCACTCAAAGAATCACGAAATGAATTAATCATATTAATACTTTTTTTTAAAAAAATCACAAATTCTGTCATACTAAAAAAGGATACAATGGAGGTAAATTACGTTTGTCCTAACATTCATCCCCTTGATATTGTGATTTATACTAAAAAATCATGTAACTATCCTTAGTAGATTGTCTAAAATAAGTATTCTGATTTAAAGTCATATTTGAAAAGTGTTATTGACTTACTAGTTTCTAACATGAATTCTCCGATATTTTACATTAATTTGCATTATCTACTTTCACACATTTTCTACTTCTTTAAGTCACTTTCACGTACAAATTCTGCAGACTTTTCTATAATGTGTATTTGGGGGAAAGATTTTCATCACTTATTTCAAAGGCAATCTCTGATATTCAGGAAGACTCTGGGTCGAGGTAAAGGGTTTGCCACATTCTTTAAAGTTTCTCTCCAGTATGAATTCTCGTGCATCAATTAAGATGTAAATGCTGAATATAGGCTATGCCAAACTTTTTTATTTGTATGGCTTCTTTTTAGTATGAATTCATTAAAGTTCAGTGAGCCTTGATAAATGGTTAAAGGTTTTGACATTCTGTATGTTTCTATTGTTTCAGTCCAGCAAGAATTATATGATATTGACTAAAGTTTCAACACTGGATAAAGGCATTACCACATTCTATGCACTTGTGAGGATTCTCTCTGGTATGAATTGTCTGATATTTAATGAGGTTTGGGCAATGGTTGATATTTTTTCCATACTGTTTAGATTGCTTCTATTTATCATGTATTTCCCAATACTGAACAGAGCTAGAGCAAGGTTAAAGGCTTTGTCACACTTCTCACATCTCTAAAGCTTCTCATGTATTTGGTAAGAATTGTGCAGTGTAAAGGCTTTGCCATATACTCAACCTTCATAAGGCTTCTCTCTGATGAATCCTTCGATGTCTAGAAAGGTGTGAAGACCACGTAAAGGCTTTGCCACATTCTACACATATATAAGGCTTCTGTCCTGAATGAATTCTCTGATGATGGGTAAGGGTTGAAGACCGGCTAAATGCTTTGCCACATTGCATACATTTATAAGGCTTCTCTCCAGTATGAATTGTCTGGTGTTTCTTAAGGCTTCCACACTCATTAAAGGCTCTGCCACATTCTGTACATTTATAAGGCTTCTCTCCAGTATGAATTGGCTGGTGTTTCTTAAGGCTTCCACACTCATTAAAGGCTCTGCCACATTCTGTACATTTATAAGGCTTCTCTCCAGAATGAATTCTCTGATGTCGAATCAGATGTGAGCCCGACATAAATACTTTGCCACATTCACTACATTTATAAGGCTGCTCTCTAGAATGAATTACCCGATGTCGACGAAGATTTTCCCTCCAGTTAAAGGTTTTGCCACATTCTCTACATTCAAAACGCTTTTCTCCAGAATGAACTCTCTGTTTCTTAAGGCTTGCTCCCTCCTTAAAAGCTTTGACACCTTCTGCACATTTATAAGGCTTCTTTCCAGAATGAGTTTTCTCATGTAGAGAAAGACTTAAGCTCCAGGTGAAGGCTTTGCCACATTGTTTACATATATAAGGCTTCTCTCCAGTATGGATTCTCTGATGTCGAACCAGTTCTAAGCTCAAGAAAAAGGCTTTGCCACATTCTTTACATTCATAAGGCTTTACTTCAGAATGAATTATCTCATGTTCTTTAAGGGTTCCACACATGTTAAAGGTTTTGCCGACGTCTGTACGTTTATAATAGTTCTCTTCAGTATGAATTACCTGATGTTGAATGAGACTTGACCTGTGGATAAAGGCTTTGCCACATTCTTTACATTTATAAGGCTTCTCTCCAGTATGAATTCTCAGATGTTGAGTAATGCTTTTATAACAGTTGAAATCTTTGCCACATTCTCCACATATATAAGGCTTTTCCCCAGAATGTTGCTTAAGTCTTCCACATTTGTTAAAGTAATCATTGCATTGATTACTTCTCTCTTCATTATGTGAACTCTGGTAAACATTGAAGAGATAAAATCTTTTAATGAGGGCTCTAATATCATTGCACATATAAAGTTGTTTCCAATTACCTATTCTGATACCTATGTACATCCTCCCACATTTACAAAAAGTATACACTCTGAAACACAGGTGAATATTTCTCCATGAAAGAATAATGGAAACTTCTTTGAGGGATTTGCAAAACTAATTAATAATTTTTACCTTCATTTTAGAAAGACCTACATTTTAGCAATATTTGACAATTTAATCAAATCCTACATTACATCATTTACAAAATTATTTGCACAACGGACTAGCTGACTTCTCTGATATTCCAAATTTTACTTTAGGGAATAAGTATGTATGTATGTATTTATTGATTTATCTATATATCTATTTATTCACTTCTTTATTCATTTTAATCTTAACCTGAAGACATGATTATTGATATTTATAGAGAGTGAAGTAGAGAGAGAGGAAAAGAGAAAGTGAAGAACATCGATCAATGGCCTCCTGCATGCAACCAGACCAGGAATCGAACCCACAACATTCATTATATAGGGCAAAACTCCAACCAACCGTGCCACACTAACCATGGCAGCAAATATGTTTTTAAAATTTTATTGGTCTTTACGTTCAGAGACCATTGCTCTGCCAACATAGCTGAAGAAAAGTAGATATTTTCAAGATTATTTTTCCCAAGATGTTTTATATACTTAATCTCCTTAGGCAACAAGGATTTTATTAAGGATAATTGCCCCACTTTGATTATATCCATCAGAACATCCTTTTTTCTCTTCATATTCCTTCACCCATTACAAAACTTTCATTAAGTGTAAATTCTCAGTGCCACACGTGCTAGATCTTACCTGTTGCATTTTCTGGAATGAATCTTCTACGTCTGACTTTAAAAACAAACCCTGGGTGACTTGAGAAGACAGAGCTGAAATATAGCAAATTAAGTATGAAACACTACACTCAAGTAAATATTCTTTAAATTCTAATGTGAGATGGCAGAATAGGAAGCACAACTTTTGTCCTCCACGGAGATGTTAATTGACCCAATTACCTTCTAAATTGCTTCAGAAGCCAGTTCAAAGACCCCAATACTCACCAGAAAGCACAATATAAAAAATTCATTATCAAAGAGAAAAACAAGTTACCTACATTTGCCTACAATACCTACTCACCCATTGTGACATACTACAAAATAACTGTGGGATAACTCCCAAGTCTCAGTTTCTTCTCAGAATAGAAATCAATGAGTGTACTGTGTCTCCAGTAGTCTGGATTTTTTACAACTGCCTGAGGAACTTGTTTCTCTTTTGAATGACACAGATTTAAAGGAAATGTTAATATACTGTGAATGCATTATGGTGGCTAAGAAGGTAAGAGAGTAATTGTTCAAACACCAGAGAGACTGCAATGCTGAAGAAAGACATCAGAAATGGAAAGATGTGAAATCAAAATATGTTTTAAACTGGGAAGTTACAAAACACACACACACACACACACACACACACACACACACACACGCTTCTGGTCAAGATGCAGCAAACAAAAGCCCTGGTCCAGACGGATTCACAGGGGAGTTTACCAAATATTCAAAGAAGAACTGACACCTGTACTCAAACTATTCCAAAAATTTCAAGAGGTAGGTAGGATCACTTCCAAACTCTTTCTATGAGGCCACCATCACCCTAATTCCAAACCCAAATAACGACATGACAAAGAAAAGAGAACTACAGGCCAATATCCCTGATGGACATAGATGCTAAAATCCTCAACAAAATTTTATCAACCCGGATCCAGCAATACATTAAAAAGATCATTCATCATGACCAAATGGGATTTATTCCAGGGATGCCAGGCTGGTACAATATTTGGAAATCAATAAATGTGATATAGCACATAAACTGATTGCAAGACAAAATCCACCACCCTTTTCTGATAAAAACTCAGCAAAGTGGGAATAGAGGGAACATATCTCCAAATAATAAAGGCCATATATGACAAACTGACAGCCAATATCATACTCAATAGGCAAAAAATAAAAGCACTTCCCTTAAGAAGACAGGGATGCCCTCTTTTACTACTCTTGTTCAACATAGTTCTGGAAGTCTTGGCCATAGTGATCAGACAAGAAGAAATAAAAGGCACCCAAACTGGAGAGGAGGAAGTAAAACTCTCATTATTCACAGTTGACATGATACTGTACATAGAAAACCCTAAAGATTCCATCAAAAAACTACTAAATTTAATAACTTAATTCAAAAACATAGCAGGATACAAATTTAACATGAAAAAATCTATTTCATTTTAATAATAGTGAACTCTCAGAAAGAGAAACTAAAATAACAATCCCATTTACAATTGCAACAAAAAAATTAAGATACTTGGGAATAAACTTAACCAAGGAGGTAAAAGACCTGTACTTGAAAAACTACAGGACATTGAAAAAAGAGGTAGAGGAAGATATAAAAAAGTGGAAGAATAGATATCATGTTCATCGATTGGTAGAATCAACATCATTAGAATATCCATACTACCCAAACAATCTACAGATTCAATGCAATTCCTATTAGAATACCAAGGGCATATTCCACAGATCTAAAACCAACACTCCAAAAATTAAATGGAACCAAAAAGACCCTGAAGTGCTGCAGCAATCTTGAGAAAGAAGAAAAAAGTAGGAGGAATCACAATACCATATATCAAGTTATACTACAAAGCCATTGTACTCAAAACAGCCTGATACTGGCACAAGAGGACATACAGAAAGCCAAGAGACATGAAAAAACGCTCAAAGTCACTAATCATCCGAGAAATGCATGTCAAAACAACAATGGCATATCACCTCATACCAGTCAGAATGGCTATCATCAACAAATCAATCAATGACAAGTGTTGGTGAGGTTGTGGAGAAAAAGGAACCCTAGTACACTGCTGGTAGGAATTCAGACTGGTGCAGCCATTGTGGAAAACAGTATGCAGTGAGTTTCCTCAAAAAATTAAAAATGCAACTCCCATTTGACCCAGTCATTTCACTTCTAGGAATGTATCATATCCTAAGAAACCTGAAACACTCATCAGAAAGAACATATGCACTCTTATACTCATAGCAGTGCAATTTACAATAGCTAAGACTTAGAAACAGCCTAAGTGCCCATCAACAGATGAGTGGATAAAAAACTATGGTACATTTATACAATGGAATGCCACGAGGTAATAAAAAAGAAAGAACTCTTACCATTTGCAACAGCATGGTTGAACCTGGAGACTATTATGCTGAGTGAAATAATCCAGTCACAGAAAGTTAAGTACCACATGATTTCACTCATATGTGGAATCTAATGAACCAAATAAACTGATGATCAAAAATAGACCCAGAGTCATAGAAGCATAAACAGACTTTTGAACCCCAGAGGGAAGGCAGGGGAGGGTAGGTAGGAAGAGATCAACCAATGAACTTGTATGCATATATGCATAACCTGTGGGCACAGACAATGGGGTGGTGAGGGCTTGTGGGGGAGGATGGGAGTGGGCTGGAAGAGGTTAATGGGGGAAAAAGGAGAACCTATGTAATACTTTCAAAAACAAAGATAAAAAGAAAAAAAAAGATGGCAGTGTAGGTAATTTCGGCACTGGCATCCTCCCACAACCACATAAAATATACAACTAAACCATAATTCAGAAATGCCAGAGACCTGACTGAATTAAGTTTTAAAACTAAGGATATAAAGAAGAACCTTCATTGAGACTGGGACCGGGGCAAAGTCACAGAATGGGTTGGTCCCATGTTGATAAAAATCATGAGATATATTTCTGCTGCAGAGGTCACGTTTGAGGAGGGAACGGTCCCAGGCCACCAGCCCAGGGTTCCAAAGCAGAGCAGAGATGTGACCATTACTACGGCTGTAAAAACTAGCAGTGATTGTGGCTGAGTGAGTCAGAGAGTGGATGGAAACCCAGGTAGTTCCTCTTAAAGGGCTCGTGCTCTGGCTTACTCAGACTCATACCTTCTGAGTGCTATGGCAGCTCGGCATGAGAGACATACAGGGAGGAACTGAAATGTCTTGCATAAGGGAGAGAGCAAGAGGAGGAGCTTTCTCCCAGACATAAGCTCAGATAGAAGCCATTGTTCCTTTTCTGAAACTTTCCCCGCAAATGGCTATCAGATAGGGGCCATAGCTGAGTCTCCATCGACCTGTCTCAGACTTTTCACCCCACCCTGAAGATTTCCTGACTACCCAACCCATCAGCTTGTGGGGGTGACCCAAGCTGTTTCCACTGGCTATTCCATACAAACAGTCTTTACTACAATGTCAAATAAGCATCAGCTGGCCCTAGTGTGCCCCATACCACTTGCTAAGTAGCCCCAGTCCAAAAACTATATAATGTCTATTCATTGCAGTGTACACCTGAAACTAATATAATATTGTATTTGCAATTATAATTGAAAAATAGAAAATGAATGAAACACAAACACACACACACTCCAATTACACTTTCCAGAATAGGTTTGACAGGCCATTAAAAATCTACCACAGTGGGGGGGCAGAAAGGAGACATATGTAGTACTTTAAACAATAAAGAATTTAAATTTAAAAAGTAAAATATGGGATATACAGGCAAAAAAATCTACCACAGCTGACAGGCGGGCATGGCTCAGTGGTTGAGCTTTGACCTATGAACCAGGAGATCAGGTTTGATTCCCTGGGGCAGCATGTAGAAGGCAGCTCATCATGATTCTCTCTCATCATGATGTTTCTATCTCTCTCCCTCTCCCTTCCTCTCTGAAATAAATAAAAATATATTTAAAATAGTAAACACAACCGAACAAAAACAATCTACCACAGCTAATTATTTGCGTTGTCTTGTACAAAGCAATTTCATAAAGAATGTGCTGCTTCTAATGACCTTAAATAGCAGCAAAAGATCACAAAGCTTACGAAGAAACAGAAAAACAGTCCAGCCAGAGGAACAAAATAAATCTCCATATACTGGCCCTAAGTTAACTAACATCTGTTAATTACCTGACAAAGATCTCAAATATGCCAAAACCGGTTTGGCTCAGTGGACAGAGCGTCGGCCTGCGGACTGAAGGGTCCCAGGTTCGATTCCGGTCAAGGGCATGTACCTGGGTTGTGGGCACATCCCCAGTAGGAGATGTGCAGGAGGCAGCTGATCGATGTTTCTCTCTCATCGATGTTTCTAGCTCTCTATCTCCCTTCCTCTCTGTAAAAAATCAATAAAATATATTAAAAAAAAAAAAGATCTCAAATAAACCAACATAAAGGGGAAATATTGCAAAATATAGAAAACATAAAAATCTAAATATTATCATCAAAACAATGCATGGGAAAAATAAAATGCGACAGAAAGTGTAAGAAAAAAAAAACATATATTGGGAGCTGAAGGACCCAGTACCTGAATTTAAATATACAATAGAACTATCAGCAACAGACCTGATCAAACAGAAGGAGAAATAAGACAACTTGGACACCTATCTCTAGTGTTCCTGGTTTGTGAGAACTAAAAATTCTAGTATCTCAACCGCTTCCCTCACAAATTAATTACATGAGACATAAAAGATTAAAAAGAAATATACCTCACCCAAATATACCCTCTCAAAAATCATTTCCATTGAAGCCAAGCTTCCCAAACCATAATTTAAGATCTGGCTTCCTCTGTCAACCTTGGCCTCTCATCTGGGTCATCTGCTTCCTTCATTCCCACCTACCTGGCTGTCTGGATACTGTTCTTTTTCTCTTCAACTCCCAGGGCTCCTTCATGTGCTCCAAAAAGGTGACCAGGTCTGGCTTAGACACAGCAAGACCTGTTTATGAGAAAAAGGAACAGGAATTTTAAAGGAGATTCTCCAATTTCAAATTTATACTGAGCTCAAGTGAGAAGACAGGACAGTGTAGAATATCAGAATAGTCTGGAAAAAGTTTCCCCAAAATATTATTTTCTGATATCACCTTTACCGTACTAGAGACTACATTTAAAGTTTTCAGATTCTGATTTCCACTTGCAAGTACACCAGCAAAACCCCAGTTGCTTTCCTTAATAACATGGATCTGAAACTCTATCATAAAAAGCAGAAGCTACAAGCAGACACTGTACTAATGAAGAAAACAACACCCTGCGGGTGGAGGAGAAATTCTGGAAGGAAGTGGTCCTCACCCAGGAATACCAGGTTCCTGTAGTTCTGCAACATCACGTCTCTGTACAGTTTCCGCTGAGCTGGGTCCAGGCACGCCCACTCCTCCTGAGAGAATTCTATGGCCACATCACTGAAGGTCAACTGTCCCTGAAATTAAAAGAAAAAACAAACAAACATTACTCAAGTGACCATGGGCAGAGGTCATAATGTCACCCAATAAGAAAAAAGTTCAAGCCCTGACCGGTTTGGCTCAGTGGATGGAGCGTCGGCCTGCGGACTCAAGGGTCCCGGGTTCGATCCTGGTCAAGGGCATGTACCTTAGTTGCGTGCACCCCCAGGGGGGTGTGTTCAGGAGGCGGCTGATTGATGTTTCTCTCTCATCGATGTTTCTAACTCTCTATCCCTCTCTCTTCCTCTCTGTAAAAATCAATAAAATATATTTTTTTTAAAAAGAAAACAGTTCGATTGAACTTTTGTTTTTGGTTTTTGTTAATCCTCAACGGAGGATATTTTTCCATTGATTTTTAGAGAGAGTGGAAGGGAGAGGGAGAGACAAAGAGAGAGAAACACATGGATTGATTGTCTCCAGCATGTGGCCGACCAAGGGCCTGGGATCAAGCCTGCAACCAAGGTATGTGCCCTTGACTGGAATCAAACCAGAAAGAATACAGTCTACAGTCGAGAGCTCTATCCCCTGAGCCAAACCGGCCAGTGCTGAACTGATTTTGAGCCAGGGAAATATCCTGAGTTATCCAATAACACCACTTTGACACTAATATTCTCTAATGTATTTTGAGAAAGAAGGATGGCATATGACCCACAAAACCACAGTTGAAGCTTTACTTTTCTAGAAGACAAATTTTAAAAATAGCCTGGCCATCATGGTTCAGTGGTGAGCATCAATCTATGAACCACAAGGTCATGGTTCCATTCCCGGTCAGGGCACATGCCCGGGTAGCAGGCTTGATTCCCAGGGTGGGGCATGCAGGAGGCAGCCAATCAATGATTCTTACTCATCATTGATGTCTCTATCTCTGTCTCCCTTTCCCTTCCTCTCTAAAATCCACAAAAATATGTTTTAAAAAATAACAATAATAAATAAAGGCATCAACACAGGCATATTCATTTTTGAGTGCTTTGTTTGAATCATAGAGGATCAAGTGTACCAGTATATACTTTTTAGGTGGAGAAGTCATTCTGAGTGACAACTATAAAGTACTTCTAAAATTTTAAGGATTTCTGGGGTGGGGCCTGAGCTTCCACATGTTTAAATAACTCACGTATGACTATGGATGCCAATGTGTCTGGTTCATGTGCTGCACTTTATATAGCACAGAAGAAAACACAGGAAACAATTCAAAGACAAGACTTTGAACAGTTTTATGGAATTTACAAATCTCATTGATTAGTAAACCTAACAGCCACAGTCCTTTAATACATTGTTCTAACAGTTTTATACATATTAATCAATCTCAAAAGTAATCAAAGAACAATAATATTATTCTTCCTTTTTCAAAAAATAAGTTTTTGTTGATTAGAGAGAGAGTGAAAGGTGGAGAGATAAAAACATCGATGAGAGAAACATTGATGAGCTGACTCATGCATGCCCCCTACCAAGGATTGAACCGGCAACCCGGGCATGTGCCCTGACTGGGAACTGAAGCAGTGACCTCTCAGGGTCACCACTCAACCAACTGAGCCATGGCGATTGTTTCTTTTTTATGAGAAAATTTTGTAAAACATCCAGCAATTGGTAGAGCCTGGGTGTTATTCCAAACTTTACCTGGAATTTGTCAAAAAGAACAAAGACCAACACACAGACACAACCCTCATGAATGTACACAGCTGTTGTAATTGTAAAGAATAGAAACAAGAAGGTAAGAAAGAAGACTTGCTCAACGTTAGCATTTTCTGCAAAAACCAAGACATACAAATGGAAATAATGTACACACTGAATGCAATACAAAATAAAATTTTCATGTCAACAAATTACCCTGAAGTTTATTAGCTGGTTAGGTTCAGTGGATAGAGCGTCGGCCTGTGGACTGAAGGGTCCCAGGTTCAATGCCTGGGTTGCAGGTTCGATCCCCAGTAGAGGGGGTGCAAGAGGCAGCAGATCCATGATTCTCTCTCATCATTGATGTTTCTCTCTCTCCTTCTCCCTTCCTCTCTGAAATCAATAAACATATATTTTTTTTAAAATTTAACTCTGTAGTTCAGGAATTTGGCAGAGAACACCTGCATCAAGTGAAAATCAGATGCAAAGGAAATCACATCAGGGGACTGAAGCACAGGAAAGGATACAACATCACTAACATCAGCTTATACCAGAGGTTCTCAACCTTCCTAATGCCGCGACCTTTAATATAGTTTCTCATGTTGTGGTGATCCCTAATTTCATTGTTTCAAATTGAAAATAATTAAAGCATACTGATTAATCACAAAAAGAATATGTAATTATATATGTGTTTTCCGATGGTCTTAGGCGACCCCTGTGAAAGGGTCGTTCCACCCCCAAAGGGGTCGTGACCCACAGGTTAAGAACTGGTGGCTTATACAGATTTCAATCCACATATACCTCCCAGACTCTGTAAATCGAACGGTGCATTTAAAGCAGTGGTTCCGATCTCGTCTTGAAAGGAGTTTGACTTTTCTGGCTATTCAAGAGCTGCATTAACCAAGATAAGACTCATCATGATTAGAACACCTCGAGTTTATGATCAGTGGACTCTGTTGCAGAGAATAATCCGAAGAATGTGTTCATATAGATTCTGCAAACAATACTCTTTCTTCTTTACTGGATTAATGATTTTGATTTTTGGATTTACTGTGGCAGGTTTCTCCCCGGGCCAGTATATGTTTCCCTTGGCAATGACATTGATAGCTACCGTCACTGTTTTTCTTATCGTTCTTATTGTGGTAGAATTTGTTGTACGCCATCGAGAGTCGGAGGAATTAACTCCCCAACAAGAAGAATCATGGAACTACAGAATCCAGCGCATAGATGTTTAAGCGTTAGTAACGGGAAACCAATAGTCAGCACCTGCCTATAATCTTATCTGAAACCTGGATATCCCTAGGCCTTTGGACCTTTTTAAAGTTTCTTGAGCATTTTATTTGCAAAATAAACACTGGTTTTTAAAAGCTAAAAAAATAAATAAATAAATAAATAAATAAAGCAGTGGTTCCAATGTGGGGCAATTTGACTTTAAGAGGGGAAATTCAAGAATGAGTTAACAATGAGATAGGTAAACACCGGAGTTTGCTGCCTCAACCAACCACTTCAAAAATACAACTAAAAGACGGAAAGGACATCATCCAGAACCACAGGAAGGCTGGCTGAGTGGAAATTCTACAACTAGAAGGAAAGAGAAAAGCATACCGAGACTCAGAGGAGG